GACTGAGTGTATTTAGTTTTATTTTTAGTTTGGTTTAGTTTTAGTATATAGTTTATAGTATTATTTTGGTAGTTTAATTAATTAGTTTTATAAAAGAAAATATTTAATAAAATTTCGAATTTCTGGTACCTAATAGAAACGTAGATTTGCTAGTCAAAAATATTGCAGAGAAATTAGTTGAAGAAAGATTCAAAATTAAATCACCAGTGGCGGAGTTACGCTGTATCACACATAAAAATACGGACAAATTAATAATCTCCTCCTTTTTGAAGTCACAAAAAATTAGGACGGTTCAAATTATTTTCCGAGGTAATCATTATTAAGAATATGAAAATATTAGTCTCCATTATTTCTTGTTATAAGTTATAACGAATCACATTCAGACATTGTAAATGGCTGCAGTATACCAGATAATTTGTCTCCAAAGACTAGATGATTTTGGCTCCCTTTGACATTTCCGTGCGAGGATTTCTCGTTTGACGTTTTCCCGGTGAATTTCCTTATGCGATTCGTAACTGTAGATGTTCCTGAGGGAGCGGACCCGACACATCAAACTTAATATGGAATTGTTTAATTATTTTGCCAGCCAGTAATAGGAATTAATAATCCTGTGAGATACTTAATATTCAATATTTTTTATTATAATTCTACTCTCGAAAAGAAATCTAGATAATTTAAAATAGGCAACTAAAGTCATTGCGTGAATTTCAACAGCTATTTTGTGTTACGACAGTAGAAAATTACTCCTAATATTAATATAACTTTGGCGTCTATTAAGAAAAGCCTGTAACTGTTTTAGAAAAAAATACATCCTCTATTATAAAATATAATTAAACATGTTTAACGTGTACTTGCAAAGGATATTGTGTAATAATGTTGTGAATCCGTTTATAGATCGAGCTCAAATCGATAGGAAAACATGTAGAGGCCAGGGCCCTCAAAGAAGGCTAAATATTGGTCTACATCACAGAGCACTTAACACGTACCCGCCCGCTCCGGGAGTCTTCAGTTGACACACGATTACGCATGTAAATCTAAGTTTACTTAGGAGTTTTGACGAAAAATGTTAAGGAAAAGAGTGTAGTACGTTTGCCAAGTTTTTACGATTCAGTTTATTTGAAGACTTAAATGGATGTTTCGGTTTTAGCAGTAAAAGATTTTTACGATGGGCTCCAGTAAGAGAATTTAAAAAGAGGGGTTGAACATTCATTTTATTATTCACTATTACCACAGTACTACTAAACATGTAACTAAGATATTTAATTTTTATTTAAAAACTTTAATATATAAAGCAAATAATAAACAAAAAATGTTAACTTTTCCAATACTAATGTTTTACTTTCTTCAAGCCATTTTACTCAACCGTAAGGTAAGTAAAATATAACTGTCATTAGGTCTCTGAGTAAAGAGCTTGTAATTTATATCTACAATCCACATTATACGATACCTTAACGCTTAAATCATGTTACGGGGACTTAGTAAACAGATTTGTGTCGGGAACATCTGCCTCCCTCTTTTGGTTGCTGGCAAATACGCTCAATGTTTTACGTAAATGCTTTCTCTTGTAAATTCTATTATCGTATCAGGTGTTTATTCAATAATATCTGATTTTTGATACATTAGACAAGGAAATTACACATCTCGAATTCAATTTCCACTGCCCTAGCAACTATATAAAATATCTCACAAAAATTTTTTTTCAAGAAGAAGGGATTCTTCTTTAAGTTTTCAAATATACGATGTATGTGTATATAAGTACTACAAATCTTTAACTTTATTAAAGTAATATTATACATACTTCTCATTCATCATCAGCTCACTGTAGTCCCCATCGAGGGGCTTGGAGCTTACCCTGAGTTAAGGGTGATAAGGCCATAGTCAAGCACGCTGGCCCAGGGGGTTAGTTGACTTCACACATATCTTTGAATTTCTTCTCAGATATGCGCAGGTTGCATCTCGATGTTTTCCTTCTCCGTAAGAATATATACTTTTCATACTGAAAGTAAACTCTTGTTTCATCTAACGTATGTGATTGATAACATGGAAATAGTATTCAATAGTTTAATGAAATATGTTCACTAATAAATCGATTTAAATCACTACCGTAGTCCTAATCGAATAAAGCCATTGAACGAAGACGAGTGAACAATTCAAGCAAAAGCAATTTCATCATTCCATGTCAAAGGCTCAGAGGCAATAACATGTAAGTATAGAGACGTAGTTAATGGGCGGAGTGTGTTACTTCATACGATATTCAGCGAACATAATTACTTGCGCTTGTTTGCGTCAATCTGTACCTTTGCCGCGATCGGTAAAACTAATAGGCTGTGACGTCACTCGTCTTTCTGTGCCTACATTCACTACATAAACTCATGCTAAATAGCGACATACTTGAATTAAGAGCACTTACCTTTATTTAACTATTCGATGCTGTTCACTTATTTATAAGTAAATAGCGTATCCATAATGCATCTATTAGTCCTATCAGTACGGTTGTAACTCGTTTTGCCAAGTGACTTTTTGTGTTTCCAACTCTGCTAAACAAGACCTTAAAATCAAAGACATTTAAAAATGGTAGACTCCACCAACAACAACACCAGTTGCACGAATTTCCCAACTCAACCGGTGAAAAACCGACGTTTCGTTATTTAGACGTATTCAGATGTCCGCGATCACGTATGTCTTATGTTTAGAAAAAAAATTACTAAAATAGCTCTAATCAAAAATCGCATTTTTTGACTTACGGTTGTTTTCGTAGACGCCATCAACATATGTACGAAGAATGAACAGTAAGGCACAGCTGTTAGTTGCGGCCGATCAGAACGCATAGCTACGGTCACACGTACGTTTATATTATTGTACGTAACCCGGTTAGGTAATTTCGCTACATGCCTCTAATCCAATTAGCTATTAAGATTCGTGTCCTGAATATTAATTTAATTCGTGGATCGGCCTTTGTAAGTAAACTGCAGAGGGTCGCCCTGACCTGACATACAATGAAGGCTTTCTCGCTCTAAATGGTGTGGCTACGTGCCCAATACGGTTTCAGTTTGTGAAGATTCCGTGGAAAATCTTTTTCTTCTTTTTTTTTATTTCGTTAAGGTAAAAGTTTCCGAAAACACAGGTCGCCTTCTTTATGAGTTGGCGAAGTTTATTTTAGTATTCGAGTACCTGTTTAGATTGCAAAGCAATCCGGGAAATAAATTGGATTTTTTTTCGAACTTGCCAATGTGTACTTTGTTTAAAATCATTATTTTATATATGTAATTTTAATTAAACTTAACTTGTACTTAACTTCTTGTAACTTAGTGTACATGTCATTCATAATATTTGTCATAATCGCGAAACGGGAGTGTGAAAATGATACTTTTTTCTATAATATTTGTATAATTAAAAGTAAATAGTAGTTACATATTATCTGAATATGGGCTCATAAACGTTCAAATTTTTTAAGGCTATCAAAGATATTAAAAATATATCAAAAAAGCTATCACTAGGAAAGGTGTTTACTAACCCTTAGAGTCGACATGATTAAACTGACTCACACACAATTCGTAGTTTAAAAATATATAACGGAAAACATTTTGTCGTTGTTGCGATCAATATCTCAATCTGCGAGGTGACTTTCCGCCGATGAGGACTCAAATTAATTGACGCTGTCTCTTTGATGCGCCCTTACAATTTATCACTTTGTTAGACAAGCTATTTATAAATGTACAACGTTTTGATTTCCTGAATTATTACGTTGTTTTAACTAATTGGGACGTTTTGAAATTATGAAAACGGGACACGACTTTATCAATACATTTATTACTTATTCTGAATCGATTACGCGCAACAAAGTATTAGATTTACTTCACTTTAAATAATTAATAGGAAAATTAAATCTTTGCTTTCATTCAATGAATATAGACGCCATAATATTAGACACTAAAACGTCATAGAATACTTTAATAACGATATGATTTTGAATGTTTAAAAAAAACGAAACATAATACCTATTGATAATAAGTCTTATATATCATTAGCTCACTATACGTCCCCACAGAGGGGCTCAGAGCTTTCCTAAGTTAGGGGTGACTAGGCCATAGTCAACCACGTTGACCAAGAGCGGGTCGGTTGACTTCGCACACATCTTTGAATTTCTTCCCATGTTGCATCACGATGTTTTCCTTTACCATTGGTACATGGCGGGATTCGAACCCAGGACCTTCAGATTACAAGTCAAGTGCTTAAACCCCTGAGCCACCGACGCTCTTTACTATAATTAGTCTTACTGGTTATATATGTTAAGATACATTAGTATGTTGTGTTGTACATATATAAATAAGAAATGGCAAACAACTAAAGCGCAATAAACACGGCCGGGCCTCGCAGACCTCACTAATTGATCCCCGAACGTAACGAACCATTTTAATTTCTTCTTGCGGTGAGACGGTGCCCTTTGGGGTCACATTTATCAAGGGAATACCCGTACCTATAAATGTATTGTTAGGCATTTCTCTCTATATACCCTTGTTAATGGAAAGGCAAAATAATTTACGCAATTATTTATAGTTTATTTTTCTTGAATCTTTTGTAGAAATGTTCAATATAATTATGATTAATATCCAAACGCAAAATTAAAACAAAACGATAATTGATATAAAAAAACGGCTAAACACTCACGTATATTCGTCCGGTGGCGACACCGACTAGTTTCGAGCCCATCGGGGGCCCTTCATCAGGATGAGTGGTACTTGTATTATTTCGCGGACGCGGCCCATCGCTCATTTTTTTTATATCAGTTTAGTATAATGTCTCACGAAAGTTTGAATAACTTAAAACGATAATTGTTATAATATTAAAAATCGTATTCTCTCGCGTTCACTGGGTTATATGTAAATTAATTGATAAATCTTTGATAATGTCTTAATGTGTCTTAAAAGAAAGTTATGAGTATACATCTACGTCGTATTCCGTCATATATTCGTGAACTAATTGTTTTATTTTTGTTTTAGACGAGGGCAAGATTCATAAGATCGTGCAATGGACTCGCAATGGAGACAATCAATCGGCGTTATTGGACATATTCGACGTGACGCCCGGAGAACCGATTCAGGTATTTATGAAAAAAATGATATTTGACAATTTTCACTGCCGAAACAATTTTACATAAACATATTATATTCAAAGAGAACATTATAAAAGCCTTATGAAATTATGGACATTGTATACAATATATTGTATATTCTTACTTTCTTACTAATATTATAAATGCAAATGTTTAGATGAATGGATGAATGGATGTTTGAAAATATCTCCAGAAGGGCTATAAAAATCTTGCTGAAAATTGGCATAAATGTAGAACATCGTCTGGAAAAACATTTAGGCTACTAATAAAGTTTTTTTTAATCCGCGCGGACGGAGTCGCTGGCAATAGCTAGTAATATGTACATTGTAAACACGATATTCAAAGATCAAACACCGTACGGAGACATGTATGTAGGTAAAATTAATTCACTGTATAAATAGCTGTTCATAATTAATACATTATAAGTTAATAACTAGGCACATGAAAGAGCTACTGAAAAGCTTTTGTACGGATTTAACTTGAGACGCTTTTAACTACTTACTTTACGATTTCCGTAACTTAACATTACTGATACTAACTTATAATACGGTTATTAGATTCCAGGCTATGATGTTTGATATACCACATAACTATAAATTGTAGTTAACAATGTTAAAAATATATATATTAAATTAGTAGTATATAATTATATATGCTAAAAATGTTGTAGACAAAAATCAATTGTGAAGACTTAATTTCCTCAAAATTTTGGGGATCGCGGGTGGCCATAGTCGCATTGGAAAAGGATTATCAGCCAGTTATTTCGCATTTAATTAAGACTGGTTTTTTGTGCAGGCGATGGCGTTATCCCGCGCGCACGGCTCTTTGTACGCTGCGTCGGACCGACGCGTGTTGCAGCTACGCTTGGCCCTATGTGCGCGCCGCTATGACGCGTGCGTGCGCTGCGCCCGCGACCCGTACTGCGGCTGGGACAGAGACGCCGCCGTCTGCCGCGAATATGTGCCCGGGTGAGTGTACTACATCCTATACCCACTACCAGCAAATTATTCTAATGTTACATATTGAACGGAGAAATTCATAAATTGACTTGTAATGCGTCTCTTTAATTCTCCATGTTAAGGTGACATTTCTTTGCTATTTGTATTCATTAGTGTCTTGTCATCTTTCATTCTTCCATTCAAACACAACAAGCTAGATAAGTTAAAGCTAATCAAGATACAATTTACCATTTGTACAAACGAGTAATCTATTTATCGTTATCCCACCACGCACATATCGTGTAACAATATGTTCTCTTCTTCTCTCTTATAATATTAACTCCACTCCTATCTCTAGATTGATACAAGACGTTGCTAACGAAACGGCGGACATTTGCGACTCTTCGATATCCCGTAAGAGCGTATCAGCGACGTGGGGCCAGAGCCTGCACCTCGGCAGCTTCGTCAAGATGCCGGAGGTCCTGCAGCCGCGCGCTATCACTTGGTACCACTACTCTAAGGACAAGGGACGCCATCCTATTACATTTAAGTGAGTAACTAAAATTGTCATTCATACTTTTACATATCAAATTTTATGTCACCGCTCCACAGTGAAATATATCTCTTTATACCAGAGATTTTATTCTTTCGATATAATTAAAACTTTATAGCTTAGTAGTGTGGTAGAGAATGTTAGTATATAATTTGCCTATTTGATAAAATTAATGTTACGTTAAGTTTTTGCTGAAAAATATCAATATGCTTAATTCTATCTTAACTCTACATTCATATTTAAAATATAGTTAGAACAAAAAGAAAAATTACTCGGCTATGCAATTAAAGTATTTAAGCTTTCGTTTACCTAACCAACTTAAGCACTTACACTAACTACTATTTAATCTCAAAAAAGAGTGTTGAAACTTGTCGTTTTGTATGTTTTATTTCGTAAAACTAATCCCTGACGTGGAATAATGAAAAGCTTCAAAAAAAACTTCAGACTTGACGCGCTTACCAAAAGCGATTTAAATATCAACACGAAAAATTTCGTGTGTACTTTCGAATCTACATTACGCCCAAATAATTTCTACACGTGTGTCATAAAACCACCCGGCCATAATGAAGCTCGAAGTTCAACCCTCACCTATACGAAACTTTTTAAAGCATTAAATTTCCTCCAAAACATTGAATGAGTCCATATTATTACCAGCGGAGAAACGAAACGCCGAATAGAAAACGAATGCGCTTCAAAAAAGAAATTTCGGAAAACGTTTAAGGTAAAAGAACACGCGTGCAACGAAGTTAATTAGTGTGTTTCGAATCCACTGTTATCGCACTTCCTCTTGTATAATTAAAATGCAAGGGGCAACGCGAACTCAAGGCTTTGTTTGTCGAGTTTCATACGCCTGTCCTCTGTTTTTCTGTTTAAAGGGGTGAAATTAGTTAAAACTGTCAGTACTTCTTTTGAAAATACATGAAAGTGTTTTTTTTTTTCAATTACAACAGTTGTTTTACGCTCACACACCTGTAACATCAAACGAAATATAGTGCAAAAGATGTATTAATTTCCCAAACTTTCTAACTGACGGATTATATCGTCTTATCCCTTCGAAGTATGCATCACTACGTAAATAAAAACATTTTTTTAAGAACATGTGGCTAATTAACCAACAAAATGTAATGTCCTGTTATTTATTACAGCAAACCAGAGAAATACATAGAGACTTCAGAGCACGGCTTGCTTATCATATCTGTGAACGAGGGAGATGCAGGTAGATACGACTGTTGGCTCGGAGGATCTCTGCTCTGCTCCTACAACATCACCGTTGACACTCATCGGTAAATAAAATTATATTACAAAATAACTAAAACAACTTATTTGTAATATTTAATTCGACTCCATTACTTACATCGTTTTAAACCTACGTATTTCTTTCAGATGTTCACCTCCAGAAAAGAGCAATGAATATCAAAAGATTTATTCGAATTGGTGTCATGAATTCGAAAAATACAAAACCGCTATGAAGACATGGGAAAGAAAACAAGAGGTAAATTATTAATTCAAAACTATAAAGTTGTAGGAATATTGTTAAAACTGTATAATTGTGTATTATTAACAAAGTCAATAACATATTTCTTTTGTTTCAGCAATGCGCTCGTCAGAATGACTCGAATCAGAATACGCATCCAAACGAAATAGTGTGATAGCTCCTGAACATCGCCTATCTCATGTTCCAGTCGGTTAATTACTATGCAGGAGCGATCCCTGTTCCCTATCTATCCGCCGGCCTCAAATACTTCAATATATTCTCGTGAGAAAATCCGTCAACAATCCGCTCCAATATAAAGTGATTTAACCAATTCAAAGATTTTATTCAAGCTAAATAGTGCTAAAACTCAAAATATATTACATTCAGTGACTTTATAAACTAACCAAATGTGCATCGACTTCATGAGAAGGTGATTTGTTGAAAAAATGGACAATTGAAATTGTAATTGAGCGTCTTATAGTAGATGGATTATAGTGGTCAGTTTAAACTTTGTTCTTTGGATAAGGTAGAGATTTAGGTAACTGGTGAATTACTGACGTAATAAGTGTTGTAAATTCTATAATAAGTGCTTTATTTACAACAAAAAGCAGAGACATATTTCCATTTTTATAAAACAGATAATCAACATTTCGTAAGTTTTATATAATGAATGAATTGTTAACTTCCTAGATTTCTGTTTGAATAAAATCTCTAGTGATAGGAAAGGTAATGCAATACAGTAGTGTGTTATGGTCCTATGTTATATGAATAGGGATATTATAAATTTGATATCAGATCATTTTAAAAGCTCAGAGTACCTGTGTACTGAGAGAATAAGATACGTAAGCGTGACGTGTCGCTTGTGACGTCACTGCGTGGCCGCCATTCTAAATCTCCGAGGGTTGTGGGAGGGTATGCCTCATTATTTTCCCCTATATGTGTAAATAGTTAACCCTGATTTCGATCTACCTATTAAAGTAAGTACTTATAGGATGCACGTCCTTAATTATAATGAATATAAGTTAAGCCTGTGATATATAAACAAATTTGGTTAGATATGTTAATTTTTAAGTCGATGTGAAATGATAAAACAAAAAAAAATAAACACTAAATTATTGTTATAAATACAATTGCGATTGCGCCGGATATTTTTAAAACTGTCTAATTTTCTGTGAAACAAATCAATTTAACATTTATTCATAAATTTTCACACACTTTCCTGCATTATAACTTGCCTTGTAGTTATTATTAGTTGACGCAAATAAACTAAGCAGTTTATATTTCCATCGCTTCATTATTGCTTTTGAATATAGCTTCTATTAGTTGAATAAGATGTAAAAAGAGTACTTTAAAACTATTTTAATAATTTATATACACTAATGAATATATAAACAAAGTTTTTAAGTAAAAACTACGCATTAAGAATATAGGGAATATCATAAAGTCATATGTTTTTTTCTAAACCACATATAAAACATTGATAGAATGCATTAAATAAAAAAAAATAAATGAAATTAATAAATAAATAATAATAACCACAATCAAAATTAAGTTATTCAAACTTTCGTGGAACATTATAATAAACTGATATAAAAACGGCTAACGTCGTATTGGTTACCGCCACCAGACGAATGCAAGTGGGTGTTTAGCCGTTTTTATATCAGTTTATCAAAATTAACTTGATCAGGATTTTTGGCAATAAGCAATAACTTATTGCCAAAAATCCTGATTCCGCCATGTACCAATGTGTAAAGAGCGTCGGTGGCTCAGGGGTCAAGCACCTGACTTGCAATCTGCAGGTCCTGGGTTCGAATCCCGCCATGTACCAATGTGTTTTTCGATTTCTGATTTACATATGTACATTTATCCGACGTTCTTACGGTGAAGGAAAACATCGTGATGCAACCTGCACATATCTGAGAAGAAATTCAAAGATATATGTGAAGTCAACCAACCCACACTTGGCCAGCGTGGTTGACTATGACCTAATCACCCTTAACATAGGGTAGGCTCCGAGCCCCTCGGTGGGGACGTACAGTGAGCTGATGATGAATAACTTAGAAGCTTTGTTTATGTATATAGTGTAATATTTTAAACATTTACCATGATCTCAGAGAGAATCCAGTACCTACGAATCAGAGACAACTAACATATCCTTTATCCTTATAGCGCCAAATTTTTCAAATATATTAATTTTAATATTAAAAATCAAGAAAACCTATTTATTGTAAAACCCTTAATCACTATAGCTTATGTATAATCAATTTATCAGCAATAATTATTTACTCTCAGCAAAGCTTGCTCACTGAGTCACAATGTATGTAAGGACAGCGTGGATGGTACTTTTTTCTTGTAATAAAAACATGTCTATAAAATTTCGTGTAACTTTTAAATACCTGTCCTCACAAACAATGATACTCTGTTAATTATTGTAATAAAATTTAATGTTATTATTATTAGTAATTGTAGACAGTGTTCTAGTAAATATTTCTGCATATTTTTGTACAAAGATTTGATCTTAATGTTCTAGATTTTAAGTACCGATAACATGTCATCCTCACTTAGTACCTATTCGAAATTTTGCTCGATTCCATATCATAAGTTAATGTACTATTTAAGAGCTTGTATTTATTACTATAACATTTATATTTATAACGATTAATAATAAACGAATTGCATTTTCGAGAAATCATTATTATACGAAATATTTTTTCTATAGATTTATTGTGAAAAATAGTGAATTTTTAATCAATTGTTCTTTTTTTAGCTTTTTTAATGAGTAACATTGTTTTATTTATATAAAGTTTAATTTGTAGTATAATGTTACTAAATTACTTATTGTTAAATTTAATTTATATTTCATTAATATAGATATGCGTTCGTTGCGAAATCCGTCACAAATTAGAAATCAATATATTAAAATGCAATCAGTATTGCGTTGATTCAGACCTCGTAAATTAAATATTTATCAAGAAAATAAAAATAAGAAAAAAACCAATTCATGGCAAAAGTCCGCAATATATAGGTGCTTGCAGATTCTTAATTTTGCTTGACAATTTTATATAAAAAAATACAGATTTCATATCATGATGTACATACATGAAACTCGAAATAGATATAAAAAAAAAATTGGTAAGGAATATCTGAGCTTTGTCATTTATTATGTAACTTAAGATTCGGTACTTAAGTATTGTAGTTATAAAACTTACGATTACCCGTCTTCGGGGATAATCTTGCGCAATAATTATAGCTAATTTACTTATCGTCTGTACTAATCGAATAGCTCTGTAAATTCCATATGTTACTATAATATATAAGTTAAACATTTGTAGTGTTAAGGTTTTATAATAAATCTATGAAATGTATCTTGCATATACCGAAGTTTTTATTTAAATATCCTTCTTCATAAACAACAAGACTTACACGATTTAAGTGATCTCGAAAACATGTCAGTATCAATGAATTTAAGTAAATATACAGCGTCGGTGGCTCAAGGGTCAACCACTTGACTTGCAATCTGCAGGGTTCGAATCCCGCCATTTACCATTGTGTTTTCTATTTCCGATTTACATATGTACATTTATCCGAAGTTCTTACGGTGAAGGAAAACATCGTAATGCAACCTGCACATATCTGAAAAGAAATTCAAAGATATGTGTGAAGTAACCAACCCGCACTGGGCCAGCGTGGTTGACTATGGCCCTTTACTTAAAGTAGGCTCCGAGCTTCTCGATGGGGACGTATGGTGAGCTGATGATGATAACATTTATTACACGATAGATTGTTGGAAAGATGGTTTAAACATTCCATTAAAGGAAAACATGCTCAATTACTGAACCATAAAGCACTTATTCGAGCAACAAATGTTATTTTATACACCTTAATACTTTATCTCCAGATCGTCGCTACTTGTGTTCAATTGAATTCATCATACATTTCAAAGTCTCACCAAAAACCAACAGATAAGTCTATGTATCAAAAAAGTATTTTTTTTATTTTCCAAAAGCACAATATTTTTAAATAACTCTAGAAAATAAACTTCTCACGAGTCTCATAACATTATAATAAAAAATGACACAAAAAACTGCTAAAAGAGATGTTTTAAAATAGTTACAATCTATCAAGTCGCATACCGAGTTGACATTTTCGTCATAACAGAGCTAGAGGGTGTTGCCCCGACGAGGGGAGACCGGCCAGGGGAGAGGACTATAAAAAGTGAGGGCGCGTAATTATATAGTGCCACTAAACTAATTTCACGATACATTGCCGACGAAATCTGTGCTTGGCACCGCCTCGCCTGTTGGCAAATTGTGATTTTTCCTTAGTAACGAAACGTCTGATTACTATTGTTTGGTGTTTCGTATGAATTGCTAATATCACACTACATGTTGCTACACAAATTGCTTTTGTGATGAAATTGCGGGTTATATATTTTATACACAATGTAGTTAAGCGTAAGTACGAAGTACAAAAACATTATGACATTTTAGCGTCAAAAATTGCTAATGTTTTATATCTATAATTTTATACATAGCAAAAATATTTCTTTTAATGTCATAATTAATGAGAAAGACAACTAAGTTCTTAAACACGTTTAATTTATACTATTACCTTGTTTTATTAATTTAAATATGTACTCTTACTTAATGCTATGGCCGAAAGATATAAATAAAAAGAAATATTTGTTTTACATGTACATATCAAATTAGTTCGTATACTATTAGATTGATACATACTAATTAAGCAATTACTATCGTATTGTTAGAAACTAGCGCTTTACTAGTTGCAAGTTGTTCGTCTCTCGCAAGGCTCAGATTAGTCGAAAACTTTGCAGATTTGTCAAATACCTCGCACTAAACTGCAACTAACTAGAACGTGTTTTGTTTAACAATGCTCATCCGCACAAGATGCAACATTAATATATGAAACAACATGGATTACACGCTCCTAGCATCGCAATTCAGTTTGGAAACTTGCACATGTAAAATATGAAACGAACACAAAATAGTAATAGAGTATTATAGAATTAAAGCTCACTATCGACATTATTTAATACAGTCCTTTTATTCGCTTAGTTTGTTTAGGCCTTTTTTTTTAATCATAGAATTAGGTCGTCCACTACATCCTATATCTTAGGCGAGTGACAACGTCGCGAAATATGGATACACACCGTCAAGACTAAATTCGTATACTAACTTTGACGTTTGTGCCTTTCAATTTTTTTTTTATTTATTAAATCTATTAATAAAAGGGAAGAAATGGGAGCACCACATCAAATGGCGGGTGTACAGAATGTGGCGGTGGGCCGTGTAATATCTCATTTCACGGCGGCGCGCGACTCCGCCAACGGACTTCGTCTCCATTAAATAATTACACGCCGAAACCTCGGGCACAGGGTAACGAAGTAGTAAACTTGATAGTGGTGTATTAAACTTTTATTGCTTATATGTAAACTAGCTCTCACCCGCAACTCTGTCCGCGTATTATTTTAAAAAATCTTATTTAGTAGCCTACGAGTATGTGTTCTTCCAGAATATGCTTTACATCCATGACAAATTTCATCGATATCCGTAGAGCCGTTTTGAAGATACCTTCTAACAAATATCTTTCCATCCATCTAAACATTCGCATTTATAATATTAGTAAGATATAACATATGTAGTGACCAATATCTCAGCGAGAATGGCGATAATTATTTGAATATCAAATTTAAAACTAGGAAAACTAAACTATTTATTCGATTTCAACGGTTTATTTATCGATAATTTTAAATAAAAATTCAATTAAAAGCACCCTGAACAAATCTTATTAGGATTAAACATTAAAAAGGCAGGGAAAAAGGTTAAAGAGATTACGTCATGTGTGCTTAGTTCCCATCACTAGAAAGTAAACGGGAAGCGGGATTGCAACGAGAGGTCAGCCGAGTAATCCTTTATTACATAGATCGGCGCGGGATGGGCTGCGGTGTCCCACTCTCGTAAGCGCATTACCCGAATTAACAATTAGTCATGCCCACGTCTGGCAACGAAGTTTGCACAAATTTACATAACAATAAAACCCTTCGTACTCCAGACTGCTG